TCACCATGAGGGTAGTAAGGTGCTGGAATATGTTGCCCAGAGAGGATGTATGATTTTTAAGGTCCCTTCCAACCCAAATCATTCTTTGTTTCTAAGATACAAGTCAAAATGACATAATTCCCTTCTCTCCCAATGAAAAAAAAGAAGGAAATATGGAAATCTAGGGCTCTTTCCTTACTAATATAGTAACAGTCTTGTTGTATCAAACTTAAAAACTGGTATTTTCTAGTGTAATATATATTAAGTTTTCCCTACTGTGAGTTGCCCTCCATAAAATTCTCCAGTTTCTACAGCTGATGAAGTATCTAGTGTGCAATTCTTACAAGGAGCATTTGAGGGAACTTGGGTTGTTTAGTGTGGAGAAAAGGAGGCAGAGAGGAGACCATATTGCTCCCTACACCTACCTGAAAGGAGGTTATAGCAAGGTGGGATTCAGTCTCTTCTCCCAAGTAGCAAGTGATAGGACAAGAGGAAATGGTCTCAAATTGCACCAGGGAAGGTTTAGATTGGATATTAGGAAAAATTCATTCATCAAAAGTTTTGTCAAGCATTGGAACAGGCTGCCCAGGGAAGTGGTTGAATCACCACCCCTGGAGGTATCTTAAAGGTGTGTAGATGTGATGCTTAGGGACATGGTTGACTTGGTAGTGCTAGATTAATGGTTAGAGTTGATGATCTTACAGGTTTTTTTTCCAACCAAAATGATTCTATAATTCAAGATCAGGTGGTGGTGAAGCGCTGAAGGTGACCCAGCTGCCCAAGGAGCTGCCTCAACAGAGCTCCTTGATGATCTCCTGCCTTTCAGCAAGCAAGCAATGAGCTCAGCATCCTGGCTTTCACAGCACAGGACAACCATTGCAATGGTCATGTTGCTCTTGAGAGTTCAGATGGCAAAACTTTGGTGAAGATAACATAAAAAATGGCTGGCTTCTCAACAGCAAAGCCTTCTCTCTTTATATCAATAATACAGGGGATCTTCCTGCGTTCCTGTCTCTCTTTATCATCTGTAAATACATGTTAAGAAAAGAATAAATTTTGGTCAGTAAACCAAGATCTTAGTAGTGAGAAGGTATTTTTTTGCAAGGTTTAACCTATCTCCTCATGAAATAAAAAATCATAAAATTTCTCGGTGGTCTCATGATTAGAGATTCTGATTCATAAAATATACCTTCTTGTAACTTGAATCTTCTTCAGCTAAATACGCTTTTGAATTTTTAAAAAGATAGAGCATTTTCAATTTTATATTTCAGAACTACAATCATATTTTTTTGTTGTTGTTGTCAGATCAAGGCTCATTGCTTCTCTGCATAGCAAAAAATGGATCCGTAATTCCTTTGAAAACTCCTGTAGTTCAGAATCAACACCTTTTTGAAATGCGCTGCAAATACTTGCTTGAAATAAGGGCTTTGTTCTTGAAAACTAACCTTAGCACTGACCTGGCCTTTATGACTCTGACTTGGAAATTAACATTGCAGAGTCCAGAGAGCACGCTTTCCTCAAAAATACTTTTCTTAAGATTCTGTGACAGCTTCAGCAACTGCTATTTTTGTTCCAGTTTTTTTAAATATAATAACTTGTGGAGTTTTCAGCTAGTACATTTTACAAAGAAATCGTTTATGTATGAATGTAAATAATTTTTTGATCCTTTCTTCAAATAAATTGAAAGTAGTATTTTTGGACTTGAGTAAAATCCTGTGAATTATATTGCCTTTACCTGGATAGCTGCTGGCATTTTAGGAATCTCACTGTTGACTCTCAGTCTAAAATAAGTGCTCTTTTAATGGTTTCCACTAGCTCTAATATATTATTACAAATGAACACTTTGTCTTGTTCAGTTTTATTTGCTATTGAAATTGGCATGACAATTGAGGGTTCTTCTGGAATTTCAAAATTCAGTTGGCCATTTAATTTCAGTCTTCTGAACTTTACAGATGTCACACTCAACTTGACTTTTTACTGCCTTCTGGAAGTGAGGCGGGGAGACTTGGAGAACTTAGCTTGAGAATCTGCTCTGAAAATATTATTATTGGAGCTTTGTTATCACACGTTACCAGCGACTGGCACATTAAACAGGATACAGAAACTGAATACCTCTCTCGTAGAGCAAACATTTTCTTTTTTGAATTGCTGAAGTTTTCCTGTTCAGGACAGTCCCATACCAAGACAGTGGCTTCCATAAAATTTGTATAATCTGACTAGCTTGTCTTTTTCATAGATTCCTGGTGATAAAACAGATTGAGGTTTGAAGGTTAAAGATGTTTTCTCCTGTTAAGTACTAGTTCTTGTTTACAAATAATTAAATCTGTAATATTTTTATTCTAATTCTTGGATCACGATTCCTGGCAATGTGAAATGTAGTGTATGAAAAATGACATTAATCTACTGGTCATCAGATTTTGAAAGCTAGAACTCAAAAGGAAATATTGCTTTTATGTAAAGCGTTCACCTGTTTTGCTGCCTTGTTCTTTTCCTGAGATAAGAAATGATAGTAATTACTTCACTTTTAGAAACACATTTACATAATAAATAAACCTTAGAAAAGGGCATAGGATTGATTGAATTAAATAGTTTTGATGGTTAGGCATTGAAAGTAACGGCTAAAAGAACACACAGCAAACTATACCTTTATTATTCCTTTTAGGACTAGAGTGGTCAACAAGATCTCACACAGGAATATGAACTGATAAATTTCTCAGTTGTGATATGATAACTTACTTGCAACTTTGTTTTACCTGAAGAGCCTTCACACTAGGAAGAGAGTGTTTAGCTGGCTCTAACTGCTGTTCAGGCTTTCGGGTACCAGGGGAGTGGCTTCAGAGTAAATTGTCAATAGAGCAGTAATGATCTTTCAGAATCAGATGATACAATTGCAAAGAAATCCCATTTCCCACTGTTTTTTTTATAATAAGCCAGAAGACAGTGTAATGGAGAGGTGAAATTTCTAATGTGTAGACCATGTACACAAATGTGATGCCAGGAGCTGAGAACTGAGGAGTATTGTATGTCATGGTAGGAAAGTTCTCAAAACAGGTAAAGAGGGAAGAAGTATTTGAAGATGAGATTAAAAAAATACATAAAAATAAAATACTTTGAAGTAGAAATATCTGTTTGAAACATTTTTTATAAATCCAACAGCATTTAAAAGTAAGTTGCCTCATTTGAGAAACAAGTCCATGTAAATGCCATTAGAAATTATGCTACTGGAGTTTAATATCTATGAAAATTTAGAAATGTAACATAGTAATGAAAATTTCTGCTCTGGACATGCTTGTAAATCTCCACAGTTTTCATTATTATGTAATCAATGTAGTAATGCATACACCCATGAAAATAATGAGCTAATCAACTATGCTTTGTACATGATAAAGCTATTCACTAACTGTAATTTAAAAAAAAAATAAAATCAAGCTACAAAATTATAGTCTTTAAAATTAAGAGAGTATGAAGAAATTTATTTCTTCTCTGAAATGCTTTTTTAAACCGTCATAGTAATTTCCCTATGAAGACCAAAGGAAATTACGCGCTATAGGAAGTACAGGAAGAAGTCTGGATCTAGGGAGTGACAGAGGAAATATCCTTTGCATTCTAATGTTATGTATTACTGTCCATCCATGAGCTTTTTATTGTTTGATTTGTTTTATATTTGTGTAGATTGCTTAGATTTTTATTATATTCTTAAACTTAAGGGTTATGAAAGAATTATGTTATTATGTCTGATGAGAAATGGATGAGCAACCTAAACATTGCATTTAAAAAGAAGAATTGCATAACATGTCTCTTTTCAGCATTGCTTATCTGAACTGGAGGCAGCATGCAACTCTCATGAAAGAGGGAGGACACGCACATAATCCCCCCTCACTGTTTCAGTTTATTTTCCCCTTCAGGCAATTGGTTATTTAAAGATGGTTAAAAACATGCGTTTGTCTTTTTGCCTGCAGAACTGCTTCATAATTTATTTTGTCATTCATGCTTACAGTGGATGAAATACAACTGTAGCTTTCAATCTGAAAACCAGGACTGACTTCAGCTTGTGACTTGGCACATAGAGTGCAAAGTGTAATAGGAAGTGCATGGCTAAGAGGAGCAGAGGGGTTAGGAATTAGTAAGAGGAGTTGGAAGGATAATGGAAAAGACAGCAGGGAATCTGGTGTTGAAGGTGTTAAGAGACAAGCAATCACATGGAACCTAAAAGTAAGGACAGGAAATTAAATAGGAAGAAATGGATAGGCAGTAAATGAAGGGATATAGAGGAAAAGAGGCTGGAGCTGGAAGGAAAGAGTTTTCACACCAAGGGAAAAATTAGTTCTGTCTAGAACTTAGCTATGGGGAGGAGTTTGAAGCATTCATTGTACACATTTAGGTAACTGAATATGTTTTTACTGGTAGCCAGCAGAATAGGTTGAAAGTCACTACAGCAGAAGTTATCATAAAAGATAATAAAATCAGAAGTTAAAGTTGAACACAAACTGCAGCTATTAAGAGGATCTCATAATGCCATGTATTATTCACAAGGAGGTTTTTAAGCCTCCAGCATAGCCTGCAGCATATACTCCATATATTGCAATGTGTGTTGCATTTATGTTTTCTACGCTTTGTTTGTAAACTAATTTGGAAGGTGGGGAAAACTTAGTATTAACTCAATAAAGTGCTTGTTTTTCTATGTAAATTCTACAATAACGTAATTTGTGTAATGCAGGCTATTATCATACCCTTAATGCACTTCTATTACATTTTATGAGTCTTGGCCAAAAGAAAGGAGTGGTATGTTTCAGTGATAAAAGAAAAGAAACAAACAAACAAACAAACAAAACAACAAAAAAGAAACAAAAAAGAAACAAAAAAGAAATATAATGGTCTGGTTTTTTTCTAGACAAACTGAACAAAAAATGTAGTGGTGTCTCATATGGTAGAACAGTATTAATTAATTAATTGGCCTAGGGAACAGAAGAATAGTAAGAGAAAACTCACTAATCTACAAATGCCTGTTGTTTTGTTCCTAGGTTCAGACATTGTTCAATGGTTAACGAAGAACTTATCTATAGAAGACCCAGGTAATTTCTCTTTTTTTCATGTCTGAAAATTCTATATTGTCATTTTATGTGATAGGACCTGACTTTGTCTTCTGTTGCACTGAGGGTGGTCAGGCAGCATTTGACCACTATAATTTCAATACCAAAACAGACAGCATCAAACCTCAGAAACCTCTGCTAAGAACATGTGGATTTTGGTTATCTGTTTTATTGGAGCATGTACCAGGAAACAAGAAGATGGACAAAAATAAAAATTACAGCTGCTTTAATTAGTAGAAATTTAGTTTAAGTTCTGCTCCATGAGAAATTTATTCAATGCCAGGCTAAATAGTTTGTTAAGCATATGTTGCCCTCTTAACATCATTTTTCAATATATATAAAATAAATAGAATAAATAAATTCTGCTCTTGTGCTGTTACTAAGAACTTAATTTCAATTCTTAGGTTTGGGCACTTTCATAACATCCTAAATGGAAAGTGAACTGTAAATAAAATCAGTGTGATGAGGAAGGACAGTTCATGGCTTGATCAGCTGAGTTAGAATATGAAAGTAAAGCTTTCCTTTGAAGCTCTGCCACAGGTTTCTTGTGCAGTCAGCAACAAATGAAGTTTAGTGCATATCCAATATTTATATCCTTGATTTACAGGAATCTGTTACGTGGTCTGAAAATTTCCGTAAGCAATGATGTTCCTGTTATCTTTGGTTAGTGGATAGATAATCTTCCTTCTTTAAAGCATGATCAAAAATACTTCTTTTTCCTCTCTCCATTTCATACTTTTGGGCATGGAATATATGTTTTATTTTATTTTAATGTAAAAAAATGTGGGGTTTTGTCATAGTAGAAATTAAAGTATGAGCAGTTTGGAATTCTAGCAAAACAAGTAAAATCACTGGTAGTTTAAAACTGACTTGAATGAGGAACTATTATAAATACATAATTAGATATTTGTAAATGGCCAGTGAACAACTTATTGATACATTACATGAAATTTATCACTAATTGCTTTTAGTTTTATGTAACTTTACACAGTCATGTGTTTGCTTCCTGAAGATAAAGTGGAGATTGTAAGAGACCTGTGTATTTCTTAGGTGTCAGCTACAAAACACTCACCTGAGAGTTTTAAAGATTGCAATTCTATGTTTATTTGATATGGAAACTTAACCTTTATTTGTCAAACCAGAACTACAATATTGGGATAGGCTGTCATTCACTTTATCTGGTGATTGCAAAATTGGGAAAACCTTAAACCAAATGGAAAACATGGTTCTATGTTGATATCCAATTAAAACTAAACAAATACACAAAGTACTAACATATGCACCCAGAATACCACAGTTATTTAATTTAAGTTGGGTTTTATCCTTCTGGATTGCATGGATGGAAAAAACTATCCACACTGACAAAAATACCACATGCATGTCAGATCTAGTCCAAAGTCAGCTATCTGGACCTGGCTGGATGTAAATCTTCAGATAGCCATTGCCCTAAATGCTGCCTTTGGGTAGTGACCAGAATTGCCAGGTAGCAGTGAACCTGACAGATAATGAAGAAGAGCTATTCACATGGCAAAACTTCTGAAAATACTCTCTTTTGTAAAATTTTTAAGTGATTTTGTAAGTATCTTTTAATTCTAGTTCTAGGCAAGACAATCTAGAATTTCTTGTGGAAAACCCCTAAATTTCATTGAACTGTTGTCACCATAATTTTGAATTCCAGTATCTTCTGTGCCCTTTTCACCAATGTGTCAGGCTTTTACTATGGCTGTCTTTTCAAACTTCCTCCTAAGTTCCTGTTAGAAAGTTTGTGAAGTTATGCAGTTTTGTGATGTGGAGATAAATAATGCTTCTGTTTGCACTGAAAGTTGTAATCTCCATCTAATTTTGATATTAGCAACATACCTGTAAGAGCAATATAAAGTAGGCTTTGGTTCACCTATTTTAGGAGTATATTCTACGCTGTCTAGAAAAATGTAAGGATTATTTGCACATCTCATCTACCAGTGCTGTGAACTATTCACAAGAGCAAGGCATGCAAATTGTGATTTAAGGGTTAAGTGCACAGATAGATTCACAGTATCATAGAACAGCCTGGGTTAGAAAGGACTTTGAAACATCATCTGATCCAACCTTTCATGGAAAATGGACCCTTAATGAGATACACCCTATCCAGTTGCATCTTGAAAACCTCCAGAGATGGGGGACTCTACCACATCCTTGAGGAAGTTGTTCCAGTGATTGATTGTTCTTACCGACAAATTTTTGTTTCTTATTTGAAGATGGAACCTCTCCCCGTGCAACATATACCCATTGCCTCTTGCCGTATCTTTGTGACTCCTTGTGAAAAGAGCCTTCATCCTCTTTGTAGCTGCTCTTTAAGTACTGGAAAATTGTGATGATGTGAAAACACCCTAATTCCTTCAGTCAACTTGTTCTTTACTAGAACAAGAAACTAGTTAGAAGGAAGTGGCACTACAGTACATTAAAACAAACAAACAAACAAAAAAGCAAAGCAAACCAAGAAAACCAAACCAACAAAACCATTATGTAGTGCAAGTTTTTTTTTTTCATTTGTTTTGCTTCAGTACCATGTAGTGGAAATGAGGAAGGCTGTTTTATGGATAGTGGGACAATAAAAAGCAGGAGAAGGTCTTGCAGCAATATTTGCTATCACTGTGTTAATAAGTGTAAAGTTTTTATCTGAAAACAGCAATTTCAAGTAAAAAATAGTTACTAGTATAAATGGCCAGTCAAAAAACCCCTGGATATTTTTCATACATGGAAAGTAATTTCCTGTGGAAGATTTGAAAGATTTTGGCTTGCTACAGTAAATATCCATCAATAAAATAAACTGGAGATGTAGAGCAGATTCTGCTAAATTGTACCAGATTTGAAGTTATTTCAGTGGAGCAGAGTAGATCTTGTGCCCAGAATAGCTGTGTGCAACATATAGTTGCTTTTATATTGTTTGCTTTTCATATATGTACTTTAAAAATGTTTCTGTTTCAGCCTACAATTAATCTGTAAAATTTTAAGAAACAGAAATTATCTAAGTTATTTTTAATTTGGTCATAAAAATAAGCCTGATCTCAACCTGAAAAGCAATTACAGTTTACAGAATTGCAAGGGCTTGTGGTTTGGTGCTTAGACATGTGTTTGCTGAATTGACCATAACAGGGTAAGTGCTGACTCTTCACTGATGGTGCCAATTACTGTTAATGCGGAAAATCTACTCTGTTTTTCTACAGTGTGTTTTTCTTTTTTTAAAGTGATAATTAGCGCTGTGATATGTTCCAGATTGACCACACTAGAGACTGAAGTCCTGTCAATCCTAAGAGGAAAAAATAGAACAAAGAAGAGTAGATGAGCTGATTTAAAGGTGTCAGCTGAAATTGCCAAGACTAATTCTGTACTTTGTTCTTACACTGCTTTTTTTTATGCCCTTTGGGCAGACATTTAATTTCTCTATTCCCTAGCATGCCAACTTGCTAATGGTAAATCATGCTGTCATCTTAAAGGAGAAAAGACAGAGTCAGTTTTCTTTTATTTTAATCATGTAAATGTGTGTTATTCACAAACACACATTTCACCCTTAAATGAGCTCATCAATAATTTCTATATAGGTGGCTCAGAAAGTGCCTTTAAGAGTTGATATTATGTGAAGCCATCATCCCCTTGTTCCTTTATAGTACCCTAACTCCTGACTGTGATTTTAAAAATTTACTTCTATCTGCAAAGCAAATTGAATTTGACTGAAGGTACTTCATGATTGGGTGGTTACTCTAGCAGAGCCACAGTTCTGCACCCAGCTCTAGGATGCAAACCCTTTGCATTCAGATTGTCTTGGTCCAGCTCATTTTGGCAGTCTGTTGAAGGACTTTGCTATTGCTCGTAGGCATCAAGAATTACACTAAAGTATATATGACTAAATCGATCACCCAGTTGTGATTTTTCAACTTCAGTTCTTGCCATAATTTCTTTTTCCACCTGACTGATCTAGCTAATTTGTAATTGGTTGCTCACCATCAACCATGTAAACTGTGGTCGCTGATCCAGTGCAATAAAAAGGGAGGATTCAGTAGCATGACATCTGTTTGTGTTTCTTCTACCTTTCCTACCTCTGCTTTGTAGTAAAATCTCTCTCCAGCAGCTGCTGTACTGATAACAACCTTGATAATACACCATACTTGCTCTAAAGAGTTACAGGAAATAGATTAGTATTTTTATTCATTATTTGAGTTTATGAAAGTACACTAGAAAAACTGGTCATGTCTAAGTTATTTTTGCCCCTTTTCCTACGCAATAAGGTAGCAGCGAAGGGCAGGAGCCAGAGGAGATGTTCTAAGTGCAAGTGGAGAGAGGTTCTTCCAGAGTTTGCTGACAGAGAAAAGACCCTCTTACGAAAAGGAAGAAGGAAGGGAATTGAAGGGTCATGCTTATGCTTGCAGCCTTTGCATTAATCAAAAATACACAGAGTAGAATGCATCCCATTTATCAATTTAACAAAAAACAAAACAAAACAAAAAAAAAAGTTGATAAAAGGGATTTACTCTGCCTGCACACAGACTGTAACCCTCATACTAGGAACCAAGGAACACCAAGACACTCAGTTTTTTCATATGTCTAATGGAAACTTGGGCACATTTTGTCCAATGAAGCAAATCTCATTAAGTCAAGTCTAGTGTAAATAACTTTCTAACTTTCTTCTACTGGGTGAATTTTATCTGAGCTTGTCAGGTCCTGTAACATTTAAATGGAATAATGACTTTCATTTCAGATGAACTGAAAGAAATAAAACTTAAATCCTGCTTGGGAATAGAAAATGTCAAAATGTACAGACACTGCTTTAGTACCACTGGTATTAATGTTGTGATACTCAAGCAAAATCAAAATGTATGGGTCAATTTTCCTTTTGTTATGTGTAATGTGGGTGGCACTTACCTGTGGGTGGCAGTCGGTGGGCTTCTAGCCACTGCTGGGGTTTCAGGACTACAGTGTTAAGTGTTCATATGCGAGGTAATTTT